ATTATCATTTCTACTATCTATACCTGTAATACCAATCATCATTGGAATTACCACCCAAACTCTTCAGTTCCAGAGCTCGAACTCTGTCATCTTAAGTTTTGCACCACGTGTAGCTAGAAGATTTACCATCTTGGAATCACGGTGGCTGACAGTTACCTCATTGACTATCAAGACGATGAACGCGGTTGGTTCTTCTATGATCCAGAGACAAAAAAGGTCTTCAACTCAGAGTGTGCAGACTTTCTAGACTTCCAAAACAAACCCTTGATTCCCACTCCCGAAAAATTCCCTGACACACATTGCATTCGTAGAATACTTCATCTTGGCAAGGAACCAACCAAAGAAATTTGTGAAGATCAGGACATTCAAATTGACAGCATCCAGGCTATATCCGATGCGGAAATTCCGACCACTCTCAAAAACGCCTTATCGTCACCCAACGCGGCCCAATGGAAGTCAGCATGCCTGACTGAATGGACACAACTTGAAGACATCGACACATTCGACATTGAAGAAAAAGCATCTAAACATTCCGTTGGCACCCGCTTCGTTTTTGACATCAAAAGGAAGGCCGACGGTTCAGTCAACAAAATCAAGGCCCGTTTTGTCGTGCGAGGTTTTAAACAAAGCCTTGGCATCGATGTCCAATCCACATTCGCTCCCACCGCTTCTCTTACTACTCTGCGAATGCTACTCACTCTCTCCATAAAGAATAACTGGACCATCAATTCATTCGACATCACTGGGGCATTCGTACACAGTCCAATCAATGAAACAATATATGTCGATCCTCCAGCTGAACTTTTCCCTCACCTGGCCGGGAAAGTGCTCAAGCTGAAGAAGGCCTTGTATGGGACAAAGCAGGCAAGCCGGTGCTGGTGGAAACATTTCAAGACCCTTTTACACGGTTGGGGATTTGATTGCGACAAGGTCAAAGAATGCTTATACCGCTACCGCAAGGACAAGTCAATCATCATAATATGGATTCATGTGGATGATGGGATTGTCTTCAGCAACAACACGGCGGCTCTAGACCAACTACGTAAGAATCTTGAGGGAAGCTTACGAGTTAAATGGGACGAAAAGCCTGAAAAACTAGTTGGGCTCAAATTGGAATACTCAGACGACGCTATATTCCTCAGTCAACAACTTCTCCTCGACCAGACCATCAAGAAATTTCAAGACCAAGTTCAAGGACACATCATTCCGACCCATACACCACTACTGGGTGACACTCTGGTGACAAATTGGGGTGACCCCCCGGCGGCTCCTCCTCCTCCAGCCACTCCCAGCCCGCCCAGCAAAGGCTACATCGTCCCCGACCAAGACCCCTCAACAAAAAATTAAAAAAACAATAATAAATATAACTTCTTTGACTTTTTTTTTATATTCTTTCTTCTCCACTCTCAGCGCATCCCCCCTCCAAATTGTGTATTTTTTACATCACTATTGAAAAAAATACAAAATTTGTTTTTTGTCAACAATTTTTATATTTTTTTTGATTGCCTATGTAATTAATTTGTTTCTATCTTCTTTTCTCCTGACCCACTGTGCCCCTGTGACAAAAAAATTGGAGTTGAAAAGTGGCTCCTTGCCCTCCAAAAAAAAAATAAATGGGACACCATTTTTCACTGTCTAGGCACTGTACAGTTGCGGACGGAATAAACTGACCCTGCCCCACCGGCAAAATTCAAAATTGACATGCAGGGCCTATCCCCGGGGGGGCATATACCCTCACACCCATTTTTATTGCTGTTTTGAACTCATAAACATGTGTAGAGCTCAGAATTGTAACCACTAAGCCTCTGCACCAGTGGTTCTTGAATTTTGTTTGCCCCATGCATGTATTTGGACATGGCTAAATCCATAACTATAGAGTTTAACCATGTATAATCATGGGGTTATAACTTGTAGACTCCTCAATCATACCTGTAGCATCTAGTACCAGCGGTGGGCCGCTACACTACACTACACTTTTGGCCCAAAAAGCGTAGCGTAGCGGCGCTTTTTTTGCGCCAAAAATTTGTAGTGTTAGCACTTTTGTAGCACATTTTCGCCACGCTACACTGCGCTACAGCGCTTTTAGCGGTAAAAGCGGCTAAAAACCGCTGTAGCGCAGCGTAGTGGGCCACTTTTTGCGGCCCACACGCATAGCGTTAGCGGTGTTGTGGCGGAATTCCGCTACACTACGCTTGACGCTAACGGGAATTCCACTGCCTTAAGCAGCGCTACACTAACCACTACGGTTAGTGTAGCGGCCCACCGTTGCATCTACCCTATGCATTGGTGCATGTTCTACAGTATGTTCCAAGCATTTCAAAGGCTAAAAATACCCTAAAAGTCTGGAAAAATCCTGATTTTTTGGCTCACAAATTTGGACATCCAAAAAATCCTGGGTTGGTCTATGCCACCCGCAACTGTATGTTGTGCCATCTCTTCCCTGCCTCCCAGAAGGTGGGACTGATTAAGTTCAAGCAGGTTATGGCTTGGCAATAGGGTTGATGGCGCCACTTTTGGAAAAGTGCGCGCCGGAGGGCGCCTCCAAAACTGCCAGTGATGCGCACCTTTGGCAGGCACATTGGAGGCGCGCCAGGGGCGCCATTTTCCGCAGTAAAAAGCATGTACATATTGTCTATTTTCCATGTTTTTTAATTTTGTAATTATAAATTTTTTCAACCTAAATTTTTTACCACAGCAAAGTCTGACTTTGCTTTATTGGGTAGCCACAATCAGTGGGTGCCATGTGGCACTTCACACTATTTGGGGGTCGAACCGGGTTCTCGGGGGCCAAAAAGTAAGTTCAACCAATAAGAAACCCAAAAAAATACAACTTTTATGGGCAGTTGATGGATGACTCCCCCCCCCCCCCCCAAAAAATAAGGTTAGAAATGCGCGCCACCCCCCACCCCCCTTTTTCCAAATTTTTGCTCGCCCAGTAGACCCACCCCCGGACCCCCGCCTACTGGTCAGCCTAACAAACTAGTAGGACACGTGCCCATTTGTACATGTCCCGCTTGGGAGAGTGAGTTCCGCTTTCGCCGGCGAGATGAAGCCCGAATGGACTAGGTCATCCTGGGAAATGTGGAGAAATACCCACGACGAAAAGGTCTCGACCTATCGACATCCCATGCGTTTAAATGCTCGCATTATGTATCCGCGTTGTTCCGCTAGAGATAACAAGACATTTTGGTTGGGGGAAATGGATCAATTTTCTGGCACTTTTTTCCAAAATGCCTCAGGAGTAGAAATTAGGCTGAACTGAGCTATTTTAGCCCAGAGATAGAAATTCATCAAACATTCCAAAATGAATTTTTAGCTCATTTGAGACATTTTTATTTTTTGGCTAAAATAGCTCATTTTAGCCCAATTTTTTACTCCTGAGACATCTTGTAAAAAAATTGCCAGAAAATTGATCTATTTTCCACCATCCAAATTGCTGTTTTTCCTTGGGGCGAAATCAGTATTGTTTGTAGTGTAACATCTCTCAAATTTTGGTCCAACCCTCTTTCTCACCCTCCTAGAGCCTAAATACTCTGGGATGGCTCTGGTTTTTCAATCCAAAGCTTCCCAATGCCTCTGGGATAGAATGAACCAATTTCCTTTCAGGTCTTTCAAAGATTATGCCACTGATGGGCTGTAAGTTGTAACTAAAAACTTTGTTTCTGAACATGACAATTGTGTTGTACATACAATGCTGAACAAGACAGAGAAAAAAGCGTGTTTTCATGCTGAGATTGACAACTGAGATAAGCTAACTCCAACAGAGCCTACACCACTATTTTCAATCGGATTTTGAAAATTGAATGATATGCTGCCTTGATTTCTTAAAAACGTGCATGACGTGTTCTGTAGTCAAATAAAAATGGTGGGACTGTTGATCTCAGAGTCAGATGTATGAGATTTTCAGGAAGCTGCAGTGCTACCTCAGTCGACCGGCTTTCGGTGTAAATGTGACTTCAAAGGGATCTTCGATTAGCAACAGGTAAGCGTCGGTCCAGGAAGCTTCAAAAGCTACAGGATCAAAGCCTTTGGCAAACGCGACATCGTAGCTTGTTAATAAAGTGGCGACAACCTGAAGATACGGGCAATTACATCTTTGTCAGCGTTTGATTTGCCTAGAGGCAGTTTCTGTTAGAAGAACAGCTAAAAAAACTGTGACAGTGGATCATCGTATCATTCCAGTGTATTTTGAATTTTAGTAATTGAAAAGTAGTATCTATCAACCCACCAATCTCATCTCCATCCATGCCAAATTTTTTGCAACGCAAGCTCCAGGACCAATTAGAAAACTAAAGAATGCTTTCTCGTTGAGTCTTTCGGTGTCTTCTCCTTCGCGCAACTTTTCTTCCGCGTTTCTTAGCCATCGTTGAGGACGAAATTCATCTGGATCATGGAAATATCTTTCATCCCGCTGAATCGCATAGTTGCTAAAGCGGACTTTGGTTCCTTCAGGAATGTGTCTCCCACAGATTACAGCGCCTCCGGGAGGGCACATGCGCTGAAGATTTGCCGGCGAAGGAGGCTGCATTCGCATGGTTTCTTGAAGACATGCATTCAAGTACGGAAGTCGTGCAAGCGTGGGCGGAGACAAATCGGGTGCAGCTATCAATTCTGCCTGCAATTCTTCCATGTAGCTCGGGTGCTTCAACATATATAAGAAAAACACAAGAAAGACCGTTCGGGTTGTATCTGATCCCGTGCTGGTGGAAGGTATAAAAACGGAGTGCGTGGCTTTTTATTAACCAGACCTACAACACACAACATGATGCTTCTCATCTTATGCTTACATCACTAATAAAGTTGAATCTGCTGCCAATTCCGCTGCGGTCAATCTTGTTCCAGTCTCGGTATCCTCTCCTAGCTGGACAGCAGAGCGGTCGAACAAACGTATCACGACGTGATCAGTCTTAGTACTTACCCTCACGGGCTAACGTATTGATGTTTCCATATTGTCTTTGAATCCCTGGAAAAGCTACGGAAAGTCACTCACCAAATAGTGAAATACATCCAATTGAGACCCGAATCCCTGATTCCTGCGTCTTAGGAACATTGACTTGGTAAAATCCCTGAACTCAGACTGCTCTTTTCTTTGAGTACTAGGCCACGCTTTGACTAGTGGTGTCAGCCAAGGCATGTTGCGAACAATCCCAACTTGCCGAACCACTCGTCCCATGTGGGTTAATATCCGATGCTTTTCCCCCTGATTCTTTAATAAGCCTGTTCCGGCAGGTGCTGTAATACCCGAGTGAAACAATAGTTATGCGAAGGGATGGAAATTAAAGAAAAATTAGCGCAAATATACACACTTCATAGGGTTTGAGTGAACAAACCTCCAAAGGCCATGTCACACATCGCTTTAAGCCATATTCAGCCGTTTGCCAAGAGGTAGAGGAGTAACATGCAGGTTTGATATAAACATCAAAACTTAGCGGTGGCGTTGTAAGAAATAGTTAAAAAAATCCCGGCTGACTGTTATAAACAAAACAACCCAATTGTAAACACAAGTCGACATTCCTCTTTTGTTTTACGTGATCATCTATGACACCGATCATTTCATCAAGGCGGTTTTCGATTGATGGGAGATATTCGGCGATAGCTTTCGGTGTAAACGCCTTATTCCATCTGAACCAAAGTTTGAGAAAAATGTGTCGGATATCCTTGAACACTTAGAACATAACAAAACTTACATTCTCCTTCTAGTAGCGTGCTCAGGCACTGTGAAAGTATGAAAGACAGAAACACTTCAATATTCTCCAGAAAAAGCATTGATAAGAAATAGTGCATAAGATCAAACGATTGGTGGTGTGGTCGTTGGGCAGAAAAAAAAAACAGAGAGGGAAGCTATCCAACTAACATGACTTGATGGTTAAAACACTATCTCCTCCTAAGTCACCCTTTGTAATTCCGCTATCATATGAAGGACCTTTGGGCCATCCTTTCGCACCCATGATGGTATACAAAGCCTCTATACTAGTCGTGTAGAGCTCATTAGGACCTGCAGATAGAATCGAAGCAGATAACTGAGTCCGTCATGTAGAGAACCTTTCCAAAGTTCCATTATCGCAAAATTCAAAGGAGTCAAGTAAATTTCTCAACTCACCGATTCGAACCCATTCTCCATACTTTTCACCCAGTTCCTTCATCGTAAAACGTGTTCGCCCTAAGTATGCTTCCCTCAATATCCATGCTTGGGTGAGTGCTGCCAACTTTGGTCCAGGGAAAGACCTTAAATCATGCCAGAATAGACGATAGAAAGCTATTTGGGCAGCCAGAGATAAATTGAATGCTGAAAGAGTTAATAAACCAGTAAAAAATGAATTTTGAAACCCAATCTCCAACAGCAAGAATAGAACCGCTTGAGAGCATAGGTAATGGATTGCCGTGGGCTCATGATTCCTGAAAATCAAGTGTGCGACCTTTTTTGCGAGGCGGGTGATAAAAGCAAGGGGGCAACATCAGAATTCCAGATTCGGGTCAGCCATGATTCATAGTTCTAAACATTTTTTGTGACCGGTCAGATTAGAAACAAGCCTTAATGGTTACTGACAGTGGGAAATATCACGAGAAAAGAGAAGAAAGTCGCCGAAGTGAACTCATTCATTGATGCTGGATAATTCATCTCTTCCACTAGTTGATCATAAGGAGGATAGTTCCGCAAGGTTCCGATATAACTCAGTCAAAATAAACAGTGGCGCAGGTTTAGAAGTGCGGTATTATATTCAGTGATAAAGCGCTGCTTAGAAATGTCAGATTGAACCAATTGTGCTAAGAAACTAGGTGTGTAGATTGTTATGGGAAGCAGAATACAAAGGCCGAAAGCCAATCGCAGTAGGGGCTGATAAGGAACCTTTTGTATTCAAAGAGATGCGTCTTCATTCCACAGCAAACTCAGCTTGCAATAGAAGCTCTTCTGTATATATGCTAGTATAAAGGGCTTCTCGGGCTTTGTCGGGTCTAACTGTGATAGCACATGGTGTGGCTACACCACGGATGAAATTTTTAAGTTGGAAGACCGTAAAACAACCGAATGATTGAAAAATCCGACCAACCGGAAAACAATCGGATGCGCTTGAATACCGTATAATTTCCGATTTTCGGTAAAATTTAAATCCCACAAGCTTTCCTGGCCATCCACGTACATCAAATAATTCCGATTTTATTCCGATCATTACCTTTTCCTCATGGAACCCCTTGTCATCAGGTATAGAGTGTCTTTTCCGCCTGATGTTTTCATTCTTGTCTGCATGTTTCTAATTTTCTTCCTACCGTTGAAACCGTCCGGGTTACTCTAGAGATTATGTACAGGTGAAGTTTCAGAAAAGCATCCAACCAACTCAAACTTGGTCAAACCATGCCTTAAGAAGATCAATTGTATTGAGCTATCCCTCATAATACAGATAATCCTGATTTCATATTGCAGATACAGAAAGGCCGAATTATGCAGCCCAATCTGCCTCAAGAATTGTGTGCTTTGCAACGGTTTAAAATCACTTCGGTCACGCGCTCGAGTTTAAGGACACGCGTCTCATCAAAGGTTGGCGCAGTTGGAATAGTACATCACATGATCACACCCAACTAGACCCTCGATCCATCAGTTGATCTACATATGCATCGCATCAGTTAGTTTTACCGCGAAGGAAAACAAGTGCAGGATACGTGTCGAAAACCGCATCCAAATTCTTCTACCAAAAGATGCGGATGATGGCCTCTATCGAGGCTTGAGTCTGTTTCAATTTGGTCCCAAGATCATAAATTTTGCGGATCAAATTGCTGTCATGGAAAAGCTCAGAAGATATAATGGTTTGATGTTAGAAAATGCTCTCAGATCACTTGATGAGAATGTTGGTGAGGAGACACAGATGGCTGATGGATCAAAAGCACCTGAGATCAATGCAATTTCACTTGAATCTCTTGTAAACAACTGTAAAGTTGTGGTTCTGCAGTGCCCAGAAGATAGTTTTTTTTTGTTCAACTAGAATTTGAAAGCCTAAGGACCAACCTCATGAATTCTTGAGCTTTTGGGAACAAGTAGAACAAGGTTGCAAAAAAAGTCAACACAAATAATGAAATTGAAAAATAAGTGGCAGAAGTTGACATGAAGTTCACTCACAATGTAACTTGTTTTATAACTGAAGTATACTACAAAGCGAAACATTTGGGAACTTGGTACTGGGTAATATGCACAGTGACTGTGGTTTGTTTAAATTGGGTAAGAGAATATCCACTGCAGGATCTAAGCTGGGTCTCTATCCTGCATTTAACAACCCAACCTAAGAGTGCCACATAAGTGTTCAATTTAACTTAGGAATTAGGGTGGATAATGAGCTAGCTTAATTTCAGTACAACATGGCTTTCCTCTGCAAGTAGCCGTCACTGTCAGTTTAGGTTTGAGTAATTACAGATAGCCTTTGTTTTGTGTTCAATTTGGCTACAGTACAAACTTGTGAGATTTTAAAAATGTCCCAACCTACAACAGCAACATCTGTTTGTTAGGTCAAAATTCAGTTGGAGTGGGTCTAGAATATCATGGGAGGACTTCCCATCAAAATATGGGGTCCCCCAGTTTTAACTTAGAGCCTCAAGAGCTAGATTTACCTGAAAAAAATCAAGAATTTTTGCGTCTGAATTGAAAACTGGGAGGGCCCCAGATCCAAAGGGAAGTTTTCCATTCTAGGCAAACACAACATAAATTTGTCTTGTTTGCAGTTGTAGAATCTCATGAATATTAAGTCAAATATATGTGTCACAATTGATTGAGAAATTTAACAATGAGGATACATGAGAGAAACTGAAGAGAAAATGATACATGTCCTTTTTCAAAGAGGTAAATTGAAAAGGCAATGATAATTGAAATTCTTGTTTCAGCAGTTCTTGAGCACACATCAAAGATTCAACAGTTGAAGAATTATGCAGAAATAAGATTTCTCAGTTAAGAGTCAACTTAGACCAGACTGGGTTATATTTAGCAAATAGCATGTTTATTGTATGTCTGAGGTACACTTTTGAAGTCTGGGCCCTAAGTAGTAAGCCTTATCAACAACCAGTGGTGGGCCGCTATGCTACACTACGCTAAAGGGCCACTTAGAGTTAGCGTAGCAGCGCTAAAAGTGGCCCTTTTTCGTGTAGTGTTAGCGCACCGCTATCATCACTACGCTACACTACTTTGTAGCCGCACTAACAGCATCAATTTTGTTTGTAGTGTTAGCGCGTTGCTACCAGTGCTACACTCCAGCGCTTTTAGCGGCAAAAAAGGCCAAAAATCTGCTAAAAAGCACTGCAACACAGCTTAGCAGGCGCTTTTGAGTGTGTAGCATTAGCACAATCCTTAATTCCTGCGCTAACGCTATGCTAACAGTTAACACACTCTTGTTCCCTTTGTGTGTAGCGTTAGTGCACAAATGTGTATTTGCGCTAACACTACACTAAAAATTAGCTTATTTTTGCTACACTACACCACACTAAGGCTACAGTTAGCGTAGCTGGCCCACCATTGCAATAAATTATGTTTCTGAGCTTGAATTCTTCCTTTTTCTGTTTTTTTTTTTTTCCATTTCTCTTTGAATATGAATATTCATTATTATAAACACTTATTGACCATCTTTTACATAGTCTACTTAAAGCTAGCCACACCAGGAAGATACAATTCTCAATTCATGACAAGCAAAATAATGCTAAGTTCATCATGCTACCCATTATGTACCCAGATCAACTCTAGTTTAGCCCCCTCTGGCACACAAAGGGGCCATTGTAGTAGGATTGCGGCCAAACCCCTTTGGGCTTTTGGAGGAACAACTCCAAAAAAAACCCAGGGGATTTCGATTTTATTTTTCATTTTTTTTATTGGGGGCATGACTCCCAAACCTTTCAAAGGTTTTGGAGTTCCAACTCCCAAGAATTTGGGGGGGGGGGGAAATGGGGATTTGAATTTCCTGAGGACCATCCACAGACAGTCCTCCCAACATCCCTAAAATATGTGAGTCAGAACTCCAATTTTAGGGAGTCAATTAACCGAGCCCCTAAATATTTAGAATAATATTTATGCTTATAAAATATGTACATAATCTATATTCCATAAATCATCAGCATATGAACAAGAAGTAGCTAGAAGATGAGTGAAAGGAATGAGCAATAAGCTATAAAATCATCCATCTCCTAGATCACACCATACCTCTCACCTATGGAACCATCAGAATCCTTTTCTGCTCTAATTCAAAGATTGTATAATCCAAACTGGCTTACACATGAAATGGGCCCCAATTCCACATGCAATTTTGACTTATGCATGCAGCATGTGCAATTCTAATGATGAGAAAACTTGAGTTTTTATTGTTAGAAACACAAAAAAAATTGAAAAAAAGAAAAACAAAGAGAACAAAGTTGGGTGATTGAAGGGGAGTGATAAACACACACACACACCCTTTGGGCACGCACTGCAGGGACATATTCCCCGGTCCACACACCAATTTTGATTGGTGTGTGGGGCTGCACACCAATCTTCAATCAAGGCATGCTATCTTGCCTTGCTTGCTGGTTGGCGTGCAGGCACGCACACCAGCCAGCAGCACCTAAACCCATATGAATATGGTTTTTTTGGCCAGACTTATCCCATATGACCCAGGCATAGGTCCTATGGGATTGCCATGGACAACTTTCCAGGGTTTGATCCTTGAACAGGCATACATTCAAGGTTCAAACCCTGGACAGCCATTTCCCAAGGTTTAAACCTTTGCCAATGGCCTTGATGATCCCTGTAGGACCCAGGACTGGGTCCTACAGAAATACCTCTTCCCTTGGGAGGAGGCAAGGTTAATGGACCCTGCCACCAGGGGCAAAGTGCACATCCTTCTACCTGCCCACCCCCTTCCTCCCAACACCTCCCCACCCCAACCACCACCTCACTCACTCATTGACCGTCCAAACAACCAACCAACCAAGCCCCAACAATTGACCCATAGGCGTTGAGGGATGGTGATAGTACTGCAGGCCTGGGGGCCAAATGTGATTGGGGAGGGGCCCAGTAGGGGTGATGAGGTTGAACTGTGTATGTGGGGGCTGAGTGATGGAAGGTTTTTGCTGTGCTGTAGTTCATTGGCGCAGGGTAGCCCATATGTGGAGGTCCCAAGTAGACCATTGGTTTATGACTGGAGTATTCCATCATCTGCTGTCTTGAGTGGTTGGTAAAACTAGCACCAGGATTATATTGGCCACTGGGGATGTCTCGCTGCCCCGCATGAGCCCAAGAGGGGTCTTGCCAGGAGCCGTGGTGCGCTTGAGTGCCGGATCCTTTTTGTGCGAGGGAGCAATCATGACCTCTGGAGCCATTTGTGCCATGAGCATGGTGCACAGAGTAGGGATCATGGTAGTTTCCTGATACCAATCAGGTGTTTTGGCTTGCTTGGTTGGTTCCAGGGGGGGGGGGGGGGGGGTTCATTGGGCCTCCAGAGTTGTTACCACCACTTGATGAAGAGGTATTGCACTACATTTTTCAATGAAGCCAATCCAAAATGCATACATTATTAGATCAATAACAACCATATCTTCAGCTGTATTTTGACAAAGAGGGGGAATTGTAGCCATGATGACATACACACCAAAATGGGATGAAATCCTCCTGTTTTACAATGTTTCAAATGGTCTGTTCTATATTGTGGGAAAATACAAATCAAAACAGTCATTTAAATCCTTTTTCATTCACTGGGGGCCAGGAAACACCTCTGATTCTGACCCATTGGTCCCTTTTAGTGTTGCGGGACCCCCCCCCCTCCTTACTTGCCCCACATTTGAGCACTTGGGCCCCTCCAAAAGGCTGTTTATCCTCCATCGGGCTCAATTTAGAGCTATTGACTGAATCTGACCCATTATGCCCCTTTACTGTAGCAGGGAACCCCCCTCCTTTTGTGGCCAATATTTGGGCCCTTGAGCCCCTCCACAAGGCTTTGTAGCCTGCAAGGAGCCCATTGTGGGGATGTTGAAAGAATTCTGAACGGTTTGAGTTAGAGAAGAATTGAACGGACTCAGGTTTCACTTTTTGAAGGGCAAAAAGTGGTCAGACTCAAGTTATGAGGAGAACCGATGATTGTTTAATTTCTTGTACTAGGTTTGACTAAATAGACTAGATACAAGAGTTCAATCTGTGGTTGTTAGGAAAGTGAATGAAACAATAATGAATGGAATAAAAAAGAATATTCTATAAAAACCAGTAGGGTACGACCACAGACACCAGAAATGAAATAACTCCACCCAAGAAGATAAGCAGACTAACCAGAGAGAAGATAAGCCCTCCTCAGTCAGGGTTCAAAGACTACAAGCTGGGGGGTCAGACTTCATAACTAGAAAGATAGGACAGACTATAATGAGATGGGATTCAAGATGATGAGAGGGTAGATCCTAATGATGAAATAGAACAGGTGATGGAGGCATAAGTAAGAAATGTTAGGAGAGAGGAAAGGAAAAAGAGACGAAATTCCAACAGATGTTAGTGGTCTGGAGACCCAAAAAAGCAAGAGGACCCCCTAAGTGTAGCAGGGAGCCCCCCTGGGCCACATTAGGGCCCGTGGAACCGTCTGAAAGGCTGATTAGCCTGCCGTTGTGGTAAATAATACTGTGTTTCTACGCAGAAAATATAACAATTTATCATTATATCTTTATTCATTCAAGATATGATAAAAATGAAATCCAAGATGGAATCCTCAGGTAAAATAACCCCTAGTCACTCACTACAACCATACCCTTATCTCTTATATTTTGGAAGTTACACGTATTTCAACCTGTCACGGGATATTTCTTGTATTCTTCACTCTAGTCATAGTCATGATGAATACAGGATGCATATTGCATACTGAATTCCTTTGTAGTAAATTGAATACCTTTACGTTATTTTGAATCCCTTTGTATCAGTGATATTGCATGTATGCATCCCTTTGATCATACATATGCGTCCCTTTATTCATTCATATGCATCCCTTTGTCCTCACATTTGTCTATATAAGGAGGCCTCTGCCTGCCAGTTGTTCCCTCCATCATCCCACCAGTGGACCAGATCATCTCAACTACCCTTATAAATAAATCCATCTTATATATTATTTCAGAACTACAAGTCATAGCCACATTACAATTTCAGAATTATATACATTGAAATACAGATTTAACACTTTTATCATCATCATAAACCAAAATTTCCCTGAACCATATTCATCAACAACAACTTCATCAATATAACCAACAATCAATAACATCTTTATATCCTCACACATATCAATCGGCAGCTTCATCTCAAACTTATCCCTATCACTATATATAAAATTGCCAAGCTAAGCTTGGTGATCTTGTTATTCTGATAGTATAGAAGGGCAGAGCTTGCAACTCCAACATACCCTTCTCCATTCAGCAAAAGGGTTTCACAACCACTTTTGAATCTTACACCATGGGGCCCATTTTTGGGGCTTCTTGGGGGCTGGAGAGCCTAAAAAAAAGACTCCTCACCTTTTTTTACCTAGGTATATTTTTTGGCTTTCAGATTGGGTCAGTTTGGTTTGGGTTGGGTTGGATTGGAGCAGATTGGACCAGATTGCTGCCAAATTGGGTGTGTGTGTTTTTGCCTGGGATTTACGGGTTGTCGGGGTTCAGGGGGCTCTTGGATGACTCTTGGGTGCTTGGGGTGGCAGGTTTGGTGCTTGATCAATGGGTGAGGCGGGTGAGGTGGTGGTTTGTGGAGGATGGAACCGTCCTGAGCTCAGGACAGGACCCAAAAACTGACCCCAGGACTTGAACAACAAACATATCCCTGTAGGACCCAGGCCTCATTCCTACAGGAATCTGCAAGGCCATTGCCAAAGTTTCAAACCTTGGGCAATTGCTGTCCAGGGTTTTAACCTTGAATCAACGCTGCAACAAATACAGTATTTGCAATGTATTGGCATGTATTTTTTCATGTATCATGGTCTTGATGTAATTTTTTTCATGACCAATGTGGTTCTATTGAGAGTCTTATTCATTTAATCTGGCTCTTTTCAATATATGTTGGTGCCATTGCTCATGATACAAACTGTGTATTGTATTTGTTGCAGCGTTGCTTGAATGGATGTCCTTTCAAGGTTCAAACCCTTGAAAGTCATCCATGGCAATCCAATAGGACCCATGCCTGGGTCCAATGGGATACGGCTGTTCCTAAACCCATATTCATATGGGTTTAAGCAGCAGTGAAACAGATATTTGCTGGGTATTAGTATTGGTGTGGTATTGCCTTAAAATACCACCCAATCTTTGGGCCCAGTATCTTATTGGCCCCCGGGACAATACACATCATTGATGTCTACATGTATTGTGTGGCCAATACAATAAACTTGATTCATCATGGTTGTATTGGTTGGGCCAATACAATAAATAAGCATAAATTTATCAGTGTGGATTTCAAGGATAGTCAACTATTGGGCTGCCTGTTTGTAATTTACCAAATCCGGTCTATCTGTACCCACTACAAGTACCACCACCAACACACCAGCACCACATCCCATCCCTTCTCATCCCCACAACACCAATAACCACCACCACCATCATCATCATCAATCAGAATCAGTCTCCCCAAACCTGAAATCTGAACCATATTCCTCAGATCATCCCCCCCTCACCTCCTATGGATTTGTACTCAAGAATTATGCCAGATTGCTGGGCCAAATTACTCTCTCTGATTGGTATCAAGGATTAAGGAACCACAGCCAAGAATTTGATCATTGGCACCAGGGGAGCTTTGGGGGCACTCCCCAGGGAGTGCCTTATCTGTAACTTTTCATGTGACTGTGTCTAATGTATAGTATTCTATTAACATAACCAAGTGTGAATGATTTTTGAAATCAGGTATAAATCATCCAAAACCCAGCTGGTACTCATCTGAAACTCAATTGCAACTAAACTGGGCACATAATACAAATTGGCTACAACGTTTTGTCATCAAAGTGGAAAGCATTGCTCAAACACTTTTCATACCAGGGGGTTACTTCCAGCTGAATGGGGCCAGAAATGTTCCACCTTCATTTTATGGTTGGACATACTCCTCTTGTGATATGTCACCACATTGCGCTCAAGTGCAATGCGGCAACATGTCACACACGTTTCACACCAAAGGAGCACATCCATCTGAAAGGTGTCTGAACTGTGACACCCTCATGAAACTGGTGGACATTCCCCTCTGGTCTCAACAGTGTGTGATATGTCACCCTATTGTACGCGATTGCAATAGGGTGACAAATCATAGACTGTTCTGAAGAGGAGGGGCATGTCCCCTGGGTACACTCAGATGGACATGGCCCTCTGATGTGAAAAGTGTGTGATATGTCACCGCCTTGCGCTTGAGCGCAATGTGGTGACATGTCACGCACGTTTCACACCAAAGGGGCAAGTCCATTTGAAATGTGTCTGAACCGTGACACCCTCATGCAACTGATGGACATTCCCCTCTGGTCTCAACAGTGTGTGATATGTCACCCTGTTGTACGCAAGTACAATAGGGTGACAAATCATAGACTGTTCTGAACAGGAGGGGCATGTCCCCTGGGTACACTCAGCTGGACATGGCCCTCTGATGTGAAAAGTGTGTGATATGTCACCGGATTGCGCTTGAGTGCACTGCGGTGACATATCACACACTGTGCAGACCAGAGGGTTAGTCCCAGCTGAATGGTGTCTGAACTTTGTCACCCTCATGTATGGTACTTTAATTGGAAATGTAGAAACAAAATCATGACTGAGTTTGACTAGAATTCAGCATGGATTCAACAAACGTGAATGATAGTTGGCAGTGAATAATTACATTTTGTTTAACAAATATATTGTGTTATACAATGAAAAAGTTCAACAAAAACATGGTAATGACTTCAAATGAACTTCAGGCAAAAAGTAACAAAGAATTAAGCTATGGCACTCCCTGGGAAGTGCCTCCAAAGCTCCCCTGGTGTGGATTCTTAAATCCCTATTGGTATCTCCTTAATAGAGATTGTTTGTTGGTACCCTTTGCTAGGTACCTAGTACCGCTTAGGGGGTACCGCCCGCACCCGCCTCGCACCCGCCAGGCGGTGCCGGGTGTTGGTTTTTTGGCTAAAAAAGGGGCGGTACCCTGGTACCACCCCCACAAGACCGGTTTTGACCGGTCCTTGATGGCAGTAAACACCCCCATTGATGAAAGGCTCATCAATGGGTGACATCATCCCATCAAGGACCAGTCTTAACTGGTCCTTGGTGGGAGTAAACACCCCATCAATGACCGTTTGACTGGTCATTGATGGGAGGAAACACCCCCATCAAGGACTGGTCAAGACCAGTCCTTAATGGGGGTCAACATCCCC